CTGAACCAACCCTGTGCTATATATGGAAAAGTATTTACTTCACTCACTGCAAGCAAGCCACACTTATTATGTCTCAAGAGATGGTCAAGCAATTTACTTGCATATCTTTGTACTAATCTGGACTCTAAATAAATACTTCTTGTGCTGTAAAACCTTTGAGCAAAGGATCCAAATAGCAAAACTATTACATAATTTTTATTCTTACAGTGCTATAATAAGTACCTAATTAAACAAATCATTGCATTTGAACACATGCTGGCTAAAAACAGCGGGTATCCAGAGCACAAGGAGTCACAAGCAAGGTTACTTAAGAAATAACTGCACAATTACTGTACAAATCAGATATTCCTAACCAATAACTGAAGAAAACAATCCAAAGCAAAGAAAGCAAACAGAATCTTGCCATTTTAACTGGCTTAGGCAATCAACGTAATACAACAATTTGCATTCTTCGGTCCAATGTCTTGAAAATATGAGTGACCTCTGATCATTTGCCTAATCAAAATACTATTCAAACTTCAGGGTTAGGACTTTAAAAAAATCATGACAATTAATTGTAACCTGTTTTTTTTAAAACACTCAAAATACTATTTAAAAATACATAAAATCTTTTTTAATTCACTAAAACTTGTTTAAGGAAAATAAGACTTTTAAAAATATCTGCAGTACACTGCACCATTTTTAATGAATAAAATTGTTGTAAAATGATAATGTAGCACTGCCAAAATGACCTTCTGATATCTTGAAGCAGCAGAAAGATTAGTAGTAATCAAACTAATGAAAGTCCTTAGACCACTTAAGTGGTATATTAAATCAAGATTGTGTGCAATCTAGTTGACTCTCTGAATATTTTTGCCAATAAAGAAATATAATTCCCAAGTTCCCTCTATAAAAATAATACAATCTTACCACTTGTCAATTATGCTAATTTTTTGTATGTAAAAAATATATTTATACAGGCATCTGTAAATAAATGGATATACTGGGTTTCAACTGCCACCTCTTTTTTTTCCATGAAAAAAAATTATGACCCAGTTAGAAGCATAAAAAGAGCTATCTACCTCCAGTTTGTGTTCCCAAGTCTCACCTTTCCTACTGAGGAAGAAGGGGATGGCAGAGTTGAGGATTCGCAGATGACTGTATGTAGCACCCACCAGCCTAAAGTAATTCCTGTGACTATCTGGAAGGACTGAGATTTGCCAAATAGGAGGAAAGTTGGGGGGTACTAAAGTTGGTAACCTAGCGTCAGGATTAGTGTGGAGCTTTCAAGCTGCCATTACATCTGCTGCTTTCTAAAGAATGATAGTGAATATAATTCAAAACATCTTTACATAAAATAAATCTATTCCAGTACCTTAATGTGTTTTACACCACAGCTGACAAGTTTGTTTGGTTGATATAAATCCCAAGAAATATCAAATATCTGCAAATAAATCAAAACGTTAGTAAACATGGACTTTAGTACAAGCACACTGTCAGATGTAAGTGAAAATAGTAACAATTCACATGAATGGGACAGAGTTCCCAATCTACTAGAGACATAGAAAGCGGTTTTGGAAACATTTGAAAATTGTTTTTGGACTGCAAAAGTTAAATTCCATTCTGTGAGACATAAATAGCTTTAACTGCCCCTTGATGGGCATACATGAAGTAACATATAGTAGAGAGAGGTGGCTAGTTGTCTTAGTCTGTAATATACAGTTATGGAAGATAGGGTACATCAGGGATGTCAAACACATGCCCTGCAGGCTGGACCTGGGGCCCTAGCCCTATGTGCAGCACACAGGTTGGACACAGCATTGTGCATCTTGCACACAACACAGGGTGTTGATCTTGGCACCCATTACATGAGACCCCCTGCACTGGCCTTATGTGCTGGCTCCAGATCCAGTCTGGTCAGGCTGTGCTGGAACCAGGATGAAGGGCTAGTCCAGTGGGGTGCTGCATGTGGAATACACCCTGGATCAATCCCTGTACTAGGTGTAGTCATGCGGTCTGTCCAGCCCCGTTTGCCATGTGCAGCATGCGTCAGTCCTGGGGTTCACTGTGTATGTCATGCATGGGGTGCTGGCTAGACCCAGCATTGTACACGGCACAGGGGGCCTGGGGCACAAGCTGCATGCAGACCAACATCCTGTCCTGTCTGCAGCACTGGACCCTGCTTCTGCACTGCAGACAGCACATGCCCTGTGCTGGTTCTGCAGGCACAGAGAGCTCCAAGGCCAACATGTACTGTGCGAGTTGGACCCAGCACCACAGGTGCTACACAGGGGACCAGTCCTGGTTCAGCCCTCAAACTGGCCCATGGGGCTGGATGACTGACACCCATGCTGTACATGTACATGAGGTTGTAG